CCCTCCCCCCCTCTTCCCCTCCTTTCCTCCATTCCCTCTCCCCAACACCAAAATAAACATGCCACGTGGATGATGCGTCTGCTGTCTGAGTAACTTGCTGCCGTCCGTCCGCTGCACCCACATGGCATGTCTCACCTACAGCAAGGCACCTTGGTCCAAAACCTCCCAAAGCTTCCCACGCACTGTGCACTGTATCTTTACAGCATGGACCTGTGGGGTTGGGAGACATCCTTAGGCTATAGATCTGAATGGTTAGCATGACCAGGAGTCCTACAATATTGGTTTCCATATTCAGTGGGCCAGAGAAAGTCCTTTACAGGCTGAGGTTACAAAGATGCCTAGGCTGTCTGGGTTTGCTGGGACCAAGGTTGGGGCAGAGCTTCACATATGCTTCACTGTTAATGATGACTCCTAGGCCACAGCTAGGAGCCTTGAGAGAGGCTCCTTCACCCTGTGGTGTTCCTGCAGTACCTACTTGAAAGATTTACTTTTATTTTATGTGTGCAGGTGCTTTGCCAACATGTATGCTTGTATACCAAGTGCATGCAGTATTCATGGCGGCCAGAAGAAGGCCTCAGATTGTCCAGGACTGGATTTATAGATGGTTGTGAGCACCATGTAGGTGCTGGAAATTGAACCTGGGTCCTCAGGAAGAGCAGATAGTGCAGTGTTTTAACTGCTGAGCCACCTCTGCAACCCCATGTAGTGAGTATTTTATGTAGTGGCCCCCGGAGCCCCAAGATCAAGATGCTCCATTTAGTGTCTGATGATGCAGGTCATCTTGGTGTAGCCCCAAGTGGTCATAGAGCAGAGGAGAGGGAACTCTGTCCTCTCTCAGAAGGCCCCATCTCTTGGCACCATAGCTCTGGGATGACATTTTCTTTGGCTCCATATATTAAAGAGAAATGCTTACAACAATTCTGCCTATCGTCACAGAACATTCAAGGATAAATACACTTTGATCTTGGAGGTCACAAACTGATCATTGACAAGGTTAATGACTGTTAAATAAAGAATATACCCATAAAAAGCTGTGTTGTTCTAAGTAAGGCTGGTAACTACCAAAGAAAGAAAGAAAGAAACAAACAAAAAAGATAAATTATTTGCAATGGTCACGTGGAAAAACTCTTCCATATGAGCTGAGCCTGTCAGAACATCCCAGAAGCTCAGAGTCGGTAACCTTGGCTACACAAAGGAAAAAACCAAGACCCACAGAGTCCCTCGCCTAGATTCAGAATCTGCTGAATGCTCCTTGAAGAAGTCACCCATGCCTGTATTGCCTCTTTCTGTGGCCCTACATGCTATCTTGTCCCCAGTATTTCATGCAAAACTCTCATGAATGTATTCATAATTAACAGATAGTGCCTAGGAATCCGCTATGGAAAAGAGACCATGCTAGGCTCTTAACTATCCTCACCCATCCTCCCTTAATTCTTAGAGCAGCTTGTTGAGAAAGATAAGAGTTAATGGTTCCATCTTTAGTGTCTTGGTCTATTTTACTCTGCTACAAGACAATGCCTGGTAATGGTAATTTATAAAGAGCAGAGATTTGTTTCTCAGGGTTCCGGAGGATGGAGCTCCAAGATGAAAATGCTCCATCTAGTGTCTTAGGATGCAGGCCACTCAAATGATCCAAGGGCAGAGGACTGTGAACTTTGTCAGCTCTCAGAAGGTCCCATCTCCCGACACCACAGCACCGGGGTTAAGTTTTCTTCGGACCCATATATCAGAGAAGAAACTCAAACGGAAGCTCAAGGACAAATTATTAGTTTAACAGAAACACTCTCTGGGACAGGCAAGCTGTCAATCCCACAGCTGCGATGAAGCAGGAGGAGAATGGACCGAAGAGCTATGCTGTTTGAGACAAGCTGGCTTGGGGGTCAGCCATGTGATGAGGTGGGGTGGGGCTTTAGAAAAAGAATAAGAAAGCCCCAAACTTTAGGGAGTTTAAAGCATACCTAGGCTCTGGCCAGCATCCGAGAGAAAAGACAGAAGAAAAGGGAATCGTTATACCCTTCTGAGTCAGGATTCAGAAAAGCAAGCCATCCCCAGGGAACCTCATGGCAGCTGGTGGGGGGCTGTGCTAGCGGGTGAGAATTCTGGAAGGAAAAGAACATTATTTAAGGTCAATTCACCTTCCTGGGCGTGGTTCCTTAGCCAGGTCCCTGACCTGCCCGGCCAGATTAACCCTAAACTAGCCGACAAGGTCATGGCTCCCTCTAGAGGGGAATTCTCTTCCTTACTGGGATTGCAGACCTGAGCCAGCACGTGTTCAGAAAACCAGAAAACCAGAGTCCAGAGGGATTTTGG